TGGAGGTGAGTAGTCCGTGGTGGTGGTGGTGGAGGTGAGGTAGTGTCCGTGGTGGTGGTGGTGAGGTGTCCGTGGTGGAGGTGAGGGAGTGTCCGTGGTGGTGGTGAGTGTCCATAATGGTGGTGGTGAAGTGTCCATAATGGTGGTGGTGAGGTATCCATAATGGTGGTGGTGAGGAGTGTCCGTGGTGGAGAGGTGAGGAGTGTGTCCGTGGTGGTGGTGGTGAGGAGTGTCGTAGTGGAGGTGAGTGGTGAGGAGTGTCCGTGGTGGTGGTGAGGAGTGTCCGTGGTGGAGGTGAGGAGTGTCCGTGGTGTTAGTGGAGGTGAGGTGTCCCGTGGTGAGTGAGGTGTCGGTGGTGGTGGTGAGGTGTCATGGCAAATGGTTGATGGTTTCTGTTTTTAATGGCCTTCCCCTCCTGCCTCTACCCCCTCCTACCTCTGCCCCCCTCCTGCCTCTACCCCCACTCTGCCTCTACCCTCCTACCCCTCTACCCCTTCTACCTCTACCCCTTCTACTATCTACCCCTTCTACCTCTACCCTCCTACTGTCTACCCTCTGCTACTCCTCCTGTCTACCCCCTCCTGCCTCTACCTCTGCCTCTACCTCCTCTACCCCTCCCTCTACCTCTCCTCCACACTCTGCCCATTCCCTCACCTAATCATCCTCACTGATCTCCAGACCTGCATGCAAATGCGTATTGTTATATCCTCGAAAACATCACTCCTCTCTCTCTCTCTCTCTCTCTCTCTCTCTCTCTCTCTCTCTCTCTCTCTCTCTCTCTCCGTGAATTACATGGTCATATACAGTACATATAGTTTCTTGCGTTTTAATACACCAGGATAAACAAGAGTAGTGCCCCAGCTGCATCAGGGTTAGTGGTCGGCGCTGTGGGGACAAGTCCTTCCTGCTTGTGGTAACTGATAGGTACACACACACACACACACACACACACACACACACACAGGTTCAAACTCCATGTGGTATCCAGGTAAATTCTAGATAAAGGCTGGAACTGATGTTATGTGTGGAGTTATGGTCAATATTCTGATGATTCCCGCCTGGACTTTGCCTTCCGCCTCATCCCTCGTAAGTTAAAGGTAAAAGCTAAATACCTGTTATTATTACCCTCATGTACACCTGCTTATTATAATGTTGTACAGGTAACCATTCGCAAACTATAAGGGAAAAAAATGCTAAAAAGGATATAAGAGCTTCCATGAATATTTACATCTTAGGGGAGAACAAATAGAGCGAATATATATATGTGTCCCGGGTATATATAAATCCCGTGTTTGAGATATTTTCTATATATTTGACTTTCACGGCGGAGTAAAGTCAGGGTTCGGAGGGGAGGGGAGGGAGGTTAGAGGGGGGTAACTTCGCAAAATTAATTATCCAGGAACGTTAAATCATGCGTGGTCCGCCCTAACGTTGGCTGGAAGCTAAAAAGAACAACTCGGTGTTTTATCGTAATTACTTAAGCATTTCCTCCCCGAAGATTATGACCCGCGGCGGTGTTTTGTGATGGTGTGATAAATTTCAAAGTTGGGCGGTGTCTTGCGGTGTTATTGAGTAATATGTTGTAGAGGTTTTGTGGGGTGGAGCGTCACTGGGCTGGCAGAATGCTTTTCCGATACTATTTTAGCGGCGCGCGCGTGTGGGGGGTGGATGGGTGGGTGGGTGGGTGGGGGGAAAGGTCATGAACGTTGTGTGTGCGGGGAATGGGGGTTATGAAAATGGTGTGTGTGTGGGGGGCCACACGCACGCACGCACGCACGCACGCACGCACGCACGCACACACAATATAAGGCGTCAGAAGGTAGTGGGCCAGGCCTTCCAAAATGGCAGATAATGGCGACAAAACTTTTACGACTGCAAATTTGCTCCACATGTTTCCTCGTGTTGGGTTTATGAGCGCCTCAGTGTCCCGCCGCCCATGATGGCACTGTGCCGCCGGGGGCCTCCAGGAGTACAGTGACCCCTGGGCGGCAGGCGGGCCATCTTACCATGAGGGGACACACTGTGGCTGCCCTAATTTTTGGCTGGTCGGTTAACCCTGTGCCTGCCATCCCTGACTGACTTACTGATTGTCATACTACTGAACGTTTTACTATGTTTTTTCCCTGCTAGTACCCCTCTCCCTCTCCTCCTCGTGCGTCACTACCAGGAGTATGATATCGTTTTTCATCGTCCACGGAGTAAAACTGAACTCTCACTTGTGTGTTGCTACCGACGTCCTCCCAACACACACACACACACACCATGTATCTAATGACTGAAGTGATGGTCAGTCTTAATAATTCTTGTTTATAGGACGGAGCGGTCAGTGTGTTCGTTGTGGGTGTCACCTTGAGGGCGGTGGTTGTGTGGTGAGGGAGGTGGGTGACAGTGGTCTTTTATTTAGAGACTGTGATGCCGTAATGTGGTGTGGTGATAGTGATGCTGGTGGTGATAGTGCTGGGTGGTGGTGGTGATGGTGGTGGTGAGATCAGGTAACTCAGGTAATTACTAGTGTCAGTCGTCGGTAACTGAGTATATTATGTTGTGCTCTCCTTACGTGATGTAACTCCCAGCTGGCTCGTGAAGGGTAGACAGCTATCATCATAAATGTAGTGACGGGGTTTATGAGCATGATAATACCAATGCAAATAATAATGAAAATAATAATAATGATAATAATAATAATAATAATAATAATAATAATAATAATAATTTGGATAATGTCAAGTCACAATTTAATGCTGATAATGGCGTTAATTAAATTCACTTGACCAAACGTAGCGGAACTTCCTTTACTGCAGCCAAGTTTATTAAGGAAACCCTGACCACCGTAAGTGTGTGTGTGTGTGTGGTCAGTCTTCCCTCCCTCAAGTGGTGGCTGGGTAGCTCAAAAAGAAAGCTGACTGACAACGTTGGCAAGTGACTATTTATATGAGAGATATCAGCTCCCAGTTGGACACTTGGGTTCTCTCGTCTCACTGCAGAAAAACCCGCCAGAACCATCATCAATAACAACTTTACGCGGGAAAACTTTCAGCACCGGACATTCACGGAGACATTTCATCGCTTACGTGGTCACTTATGGTGAAATAAATATAAATAGTATCATCTTGTCATCTTTCATCCACTATCAAAGCAGGTGGGAGGAGAATACGTCCCCTTTCTGGCAATATTGCAACTTGCAGAAATTATTTTTACCTACTGACATTCATTCATACCTGCGACTAGAGCTCTTTTGATCTCCCTGTCAACGTGTCTTGTTTATCATATCGCCTCCAACAGTTCAAAACATCTTGGTTTACATCCTCAGTGTTTGGCATGCGGACACCTTGGTGAATATATATGACACCTACATTTGTCTGATATATCCGTGCACCAAACGATTATTATAACCTAACTTAACCTCACCTTACCTAACCTCACCTTACCTAAAAATGTTCAGGTAAATTGTGAACTCTGTAGTACACAATTCACGCTAGACGTTGTGTGTAGGCTTACCCAGTGTCACATACTGTAGGTAATCCTTGTGTGTGTTAGGGATTTATTCCTTGCTGGTGTTACTGTGGCAAAACCTTTCTGTTGTAGTGTGTGTGTGTGTGTGTGTGTGTGTGTGTGTGTGTGTGTGTGTGTGTGTGTGTGTGTCCTACCACTAGTTGGGCACAGGTGAGGAGTAACAGGATGTTCTGAATCAACGTTGCGGATACAGAGTCAACCCTGTGTCCTATAACCTTACCTCTGAGGGCACTATTGTGACACCCAGGAGACGAGGAGTAGGGAGGGCTGTTGTGAAAGAGATGGAAGCCCTTTGTGTCTTATACTGACGCTGTTATTGGACACATTGCCACTGTGTCCCCCCCACCACAGAGGACATCATCATCACACTTAAGACACAGGAGGTGGGATAGCCGGGGGGTTGTGGTAGTGACTAGACTAGAGGATGGGGGGCTGCACAATGCTATCCTTGTGTCCTCTGCCCCCGGGGACACTAGACACAGGAGGCGGCGGGGGTCCTGCAGGTCTGTCCAGAGTTATTCCCGGCTGCTGTCGCCTGGTGTGTGTCGGAGGAGGGGGAGGGAGGGGGAGCTATAATATCAGGACTGAACATGGTGTGGCAGCTTGTATATTGTGACCGTTTGTTGTACATAACCCTGTCGGCGCAGAGAGAGAGAGAGAGAGAGAGAGAGAGAGCGAGTTATGCTAACTGTATTATCTGTGAGTCACTTTGGAAGTGTATGGGTGTACATTGTGTAGGTATATACAGTATAACGAACCGACACACACACACACACACACACACCAGACAGCCAATATCACGTCTGGCCATCACTTGTCCTGCTTGTAATCCTCATCTTATTTCTCCATTTCATTTTATTAGTTCAGACACGATACTACAAGAACAGTTACAGCCTATACAGCGACATGGATTTCAGAATTATAAGCTGTAACAGAACGTAAATATTAGTCATTAACGATTTCTGTACATAGTTACGTCATAATCATTTGTACAGACGAGAAAGTAGAGTTATTATTATTTATTTGGAAACAACACACAAATGTCTTCCTGAGTCGTCAACGCTGAGGTGAGGGTCAAGGGTTTCACAATATCTTCGAAGCCTTAAATGAACCACGAAGCATCTCTTGACCACGGTGAAAGTGTGTCTACTGTAACAACCAATGAAGCAATGAATTAATCACCGTATTGTGGGTGTTGATAAGTCCCGGATGAGCTATACTGGTAGTTCTCTCTCCGTTCCCCTCCTCTAATTCCATTTTAACTAGTGAAGCACAAAGTTAATGGGTAGTTAGCTCCTAGTTGACGGCACCAGAGGCTATTATTACCGGCCCTTACATCCACGTTGATGGGGTGATCATAGAGGGAGGTGTGTGTGTGTGTGTGTGTGTGTGTGTGTGTGTGTGTGTGTGACTAACACACACACACTGTACATCAGAGGTAGTGGGCCTTAGGTCTTTATTTGCCAGGCTGACTTGTGTGCCGGCCGCTATAGGTGGGTGGCGGGGGGGGCAGGGGGTGACAATTGGGCGCGTGGGCGACTGGGGGTGGAGTGCGTGGGCGACGCAATGATTGGAGTGCGTGGGCGACTGTGGGGAATTGAGTCGTATTGGGCGACTGTGGGGTGGAGTGCGTGGGTGACTGTAGGGTGGAGTGCGTGGTGACTGTAGAGATTGGAGTGCGTGGGTGACTGTGGGGTGGAGTGCGTGGCTGGGGTGGAGTGCGTGGGCTGTGGGGTGGAGTGCGTGGGCGACTGTGATTGGAGTGCGTGATGGTGACTGTGGGGTGGAGTGCGTGGGCGACTGTGGGGTGGAGTGCGTAGGCGACTGTGGGGTGCGTGGCGGGCGACTGTGGGGTGGGTGCGTGGGCGACTGTGGGGTGGGCGCGTGGGCGACTGTGGGGTGGAGCGCGTGGGCGACTGTGGGGTGGAGCGCGTGGGCGACTGGGGTGGGCGCGTGGGCGACTGTGGGGTGGGCGCGTGGGCGACTGTGGGGTGGAGCGCGTGGGCGACTGCGGGGTGGAGCGCGTGGGCGACTGTGGGGGTGGAGCGCGTGGGCGACGCTGTGGGGGTGGAGCGCGTGGGCGACTGTGGGGTGGAGCGCGTGGCGACTGGGGTGGAGCGCGTGGGCGACTGGGTGGAGCGCGTGGGCGACTGTGGGGTGGGCGTGGGCGACTGGGGTGGGCGCGTGGGCGACTGTGGGTCCAGGCGTGGGCGACTGTGGGGTGGGCGCGTGGGCGACTGGGGTGGAGTGCGTGGGCGACTGTGGGGTGGGTGCGTGGGCGACTGTGGGGTGGAGTGCGTGGGCGACTGTGGGTGGAGTGCGTGGGCGACTGTGGGGTGGAGTGCGTGGGCGACTGTGGGGTGGAGCGCGTGGGCGACTGTGGGGTGGAGCGCGTGGGCGACTGTGGGGTGGAGCGCGTGGGCGACTGTGGGGTGGAGCGCGTGGGCGACTGTGGGGTGGAGCGCGTGGGCGACTGTGGGGTGGTGGGTGTTGCGTCATTTATTGGAAGACACTCGGTTTATAATTGTATTTTAATTAGTATTTAACAATTAGTAATATTTAATAGTAGCAGCAGTAGTCGTAGTGCTAGTTGTGGTAGTGGTGGTAGTGGTGGTAGTAGTAGTGGGGTTAGTGGTGGTAGTAGTAGTGGGGTTAGTGGTAGTGGTAGTAGTAGTGGGGTTAGTGGTGGTAGTGGTGGTGGTACTATTATTATTACTACTATTATTATTATTACTATTATTATTATTACTATTATTAATGAGAGAAGATGAATAAATGGACAAATAAATACCTTTACTCACTGATAACTGATAACCGTAATTCTGGCCCACATCCTCCCCTCCCTCCTTCCCTTCCCTTCCCTTCCCTTCCCTTCCCTTCCCTCCTTCCCTTCTACTCTCTTCTTTCCTATAAACGAACAGCTAAATATATTTTCCTTCTCCTCCTCCCCCTTCTCTTCCTCTCCCTCCCCTTCCTCCCCTCCTGCTCCGCCTCACCTTCCTCCCCTCCTGCTCCGCCTCACCTTCCTCCCCTCCTGCTCCGCCTCACCTTCCTCCCCCTCTTCCTCCTCCTCCTCCTCTTGCAGTCGAATAAATTTATAGTTTCCCCGTGTTGGCGGAGAGCAGCTGCCTCTTCCCTCCACGTCGACGTCTTATTGTTCCCTCTACGTCGACGTCTTATTGTTCCCTCCACGTCGACGTCTTATTGTTCCCTCCACGTCGACGTCTTACTGTTCCCTCCACGTCGACGTCATATTGTTCTCTCCACGTCGACGTCTTATTGTTCCCTCCACGTCGACGTCTTATTGTTCTCTCCACGTCGACGTCTTATTGTTCCCTCGACGTCGACGTCTTATTGTTCCCTCCACGTCGACGTCGCATTGTTCCCTCCACGTCGACGTCTTACTGTTCCCTCCACGTCGACGTCTTATTGTTCTCTCCACGTCGACGTCTTATTGTTCCCTCCACGTCGACGTCTTATTGTTCCCTCCACGTCGACGTCTTATTGTTCCCTCCACGTCGACGTCTTATTGTTCTCTCCACGTCGACGTCTTATTGTTCTCTCCACGTCGACGTCGCAAATCATTCCCTCCATCTTATTGTTCTCTCCACATCGACGTCTTATTTGTTCCTCCACGTCGACGTCTTATCATTCCCCTCCACGTCGACGTCGCATTGTTCCTCCACGTCGCATTGTTCCCTCCACGTCGACGTGTTCCTCCTCGTTGTTTTTATCAGTGATAGTTACGTCAATTTGCCTCCTTGAAAATTCCGGATTGGCCTCCTCCCTCCCCTTCCTCACCCCCCTTCCTCCACCCCTTCCCTCCACCTCCCCTTCCCTCCCTCCCCCTTCCCCTCCCTCCCCTTCCTCACCTCCCCCTTCCTCCACCTCCCCCCTTCCCTCACCTCCCCTTCCTCCCCTCCCCCCTTCCCCTAACCCCCCCTTCCCTCCCCTCCCTTCCTCCACCCCCATTCCTCACCCCCCCACCACCCACTCCCCTACCTTCTCACCATGCCTCCCCCCTACCCCTAATCCCCCCTTACCACCGCCATCCCCCCTCACCCCTCCCCTTCTCCCCACCCCACCACTCCCCCTTCCCACCCACCCCTACCTCCCCTTTCACCACCCTCCCACCCCTTCTCTTCCATCGCCTCCACTCCCTCCCCTCCCCCACCTCCACCCCTCCCTCCCCACCCCTCCTCCCTCTCCCACCCCACTCCCTCCCCTCTCCTCCCCTCCCCATGGCTTCTCATTGACTGAAATACGACCTCTTCATTTTAGCCCTTTTCTTATTTAATTTGTGGCGGCGTAGTGGCGTAGTGGGGCCTCTTGGTGGTGAATGATGGAGACGTGGTGGTGGAGACGTGGTGGTGAATGGTGTGAAGGGTGTGGAGGTGGAGGGTGTGGAGGTGGTGGAGGGTGTGGGGGTGGAGACGTGGTGGTGGAGGGTGTGGAGGTGGTGGGGGTGGAGAGGAGGGTGGGTATCAGTTTTTTTTATTGTATGCTGAGAGAGAGAGAGAGAGAGAGAGAGAGAGAGAGAGAGAGAGAGAGAGAGAGAGAGAGAGAGAGAGAGAGAGAGAGAGAGAGAGAGAGAGAGAGAGATTCTAAAACTATTACCGGTTACAGTCTGGTTAGAGGTTCATAAGCTCTTAATTGTCGTGTCTCCAGATTAATTAATTATAGAGTCACTTTTATTTAATTGTTACCTGCTAATTAGTTTGATCTGTGGTAATCCTAGTTTTGTTTTGAGGGTAAGTTTGTCTTGTGATGTCTTAATTGGTTGGTGTAATGTCTCTTCTTGTTTTGATTGGTTAGTGTAATGTCTCGTCTTGTTTTGATTGGTTAGTGTAATGTCTCGTCTTATTTTGATTGGTAGATTTTAATTGATTTTCTGTGCTGTTTATTATGGGTCTGTTGATTGGCCCTGTTTCCCCCTCTTGTTGCTCTGCGATTGGATGTGGTATTTGTTGTTGTCCTGTGATTGGCTGAGCGATGCCACGTTGATCTCTGATTGGCTGCTGTGAGACGAGCCCTGAAGGTTTTGTTTTCTTTTAATCGGCGGTTATGTTAATGCCATTGTTGGGTGGTTGTGGCGGCGTGGTTGAACACACACACACACACACACACACACACACACACACACTGTTTATTTTGCATTTGTCTCCTCACGGGAAGTTACGGAGTCGAGGCACAGAGGAGGAAGATGTCAGGGGGAACTACTTGAAAGTGTGTGCGTAGTTGTGAAGGGACGGGGTAGTGGTGGTGACTGTGGTGCTTATAGACGCTCTACCATCACCATACATTTCCTTGGCGTTACACAATCAGGAAAATTGTGATTCGGGCTTGTGAGTGCAGATTCAATGTTTACATGAGATACAGACAGCAGTGGTTTGCTTGTGTTGAAGTTACGATAAAGGTGATAAATTGATAATGTAATCTGTATATATGAATAACAATCTACCTGGTAATAGCCGAGTCTTGTCCTGTGTACATGTAAACAACGGAATCAGTCTGAAATTTGTTTATTCTAGATGTTTGTGTCTCATCCACCCACGCACCCGCCCATCCATCCACCCATTAAATATTATTATTATTATTATTATTATTATTATTATTATTATTATTATTGTTTTCGCACCCAGGCCCTGATGTGGGTCATTGACCTGTGCCCTAGTGGGTTAATCCCCTAAAAAATAAAAAATAAAATAACAATAAAAAATAAATAATAATAATGTGGAAGTCGGCATGGACGCGGGATATGGATAAAAACACGTGTCTGTGGATATACAACGGTGATATGGAGGCGGATGTGGATACCAGGATATAAAGGGGAATAAGAGCCTGATAAATAGTGGACATGAACCGGAAATACGAACAGGAAAATCAGTAGATAAAAGCAGCGTGCGCGTTGAGAGAGAGAGAGAGAGAGAGAGAGAGAGAGAGAGAGAGAGAGAGAGAGAGAGAGAGAGAGAGAGAGAGCACCATTAACCTGCAACACCTTTCATCTACTCACTAATAACGGGTTATTACATCTGTGGCATTTAGTTAAGAAAGGAGTGGAGGGAAGGGAGGGAGGAAAGGGGCGGAAGGAAGGAGGAAGGAAGATCATCTTGCGGTGATTTTAGGGCAGCATCAAGAAGTTAGGGCAGTATTAAGGGTGGGTGGGTAAGTCAGCTGGGCAATGATAAGGGTGGGTGGGTGTGTGTGCTGCCCTGAGCGTCCCTCCCTAGAGGCTCTTCTCGGGGTCTTCCTTAAGGGGTGGAGGAGGGCGGGTGAGGTTAAGGCACGTGACGCCCTCGTAATAACTCGGCAATACTGTGGAGGAGCTCATTGTGTGTCTGGCCTATACATGGTGTGGGAGTCGCCGGCGGGGTGGGGTGGTGGTAGAGGTGTGGTGGAAGAAGTGGGGTGGTGGTAGAAGGGGTGTGGTGGTAGAAGGGGTGAGATGGTGGAGGTTTGGGGTGCAGGGAGGTGGTGAAGGAGGTGTTGGTCTTTGGGTGGTGGTAGTGAAGGTGTTGGGTTCTGGTGGCGGTCGTGAGGAGGAAGATGATGATGAAGTCTGTTGGAGGTGATAGTGAGGGAGGGGGAAGTGTGGTGTGGTGAAGGTGATGGAGCGGGTGTTGGGGATGTGGGTAGAAGGTATGGTGATGGTGGTGGTGATTTAGGTTAAGAGACTGTTGGAGAAGATGCTGGCGAGAGAAGGAGGGAGAGTGGATGGGAAGGATATCAGGAAAGGATAGTGGATGGGTTATGGGTCTGGGTATAGTTGACTGAGTGGGTGGGTGAGTGGGTAGATGAGTGGGTGGCTCGATAAATTGGGTGTGAGTGGGACCTTAATTAAAATGAGAGCCACCACTTGACAACATCTCTCGTAGTTGTGTAGTAAATAATAATAACCTTCACGATTATTCTCTCTGTGTCATCTTTTATCATGTGTTCTACTACTTCCTTCTACGCTGTTTATATTCCTATTTTTACTTACCTTTTCATGTATTATTCTCTTGTTTATTGTTATTATTAGTCTATCACCACCTTCATTTTGTGTGTGTGTGTGTGTGTGTGTGTGTGTGTGTGTGTGTCCTCCCTGCAATAGTATACAGTACAGTACATCACGAGGCAGGCCAGCCAGGTGAGTGCTGTCCCACAGGTGATATCGGTAAAACATAACTGTATTCGGATTCCCTCGAGACTCGTATCCGCTGAATACATATTAAAAACATAGCATCATTATAATTACAGGACTTGGCTGGATACGTGCGCTTTTATATTCTTTGTTTTGTTGTAGCGCAGAATAGAGGTTGTGCTTGTGGAGAGGGAGGCGGGGGGGGTGGTGATGTGGGCAAAGGGAGGATATTGTCTTCACGCGTAAACGACAAGTGCTCAAAACAACACCGCCTGCTCGCATATTGAGGAATGTTGTGGTATTGGAGAAACATCTGATCTTTGTGTTTCGAGGACGAGGAGGGGTGATAG